TCTTGACAAGCACAAAAGAGAATTAGATAAAATTTTATCCACTTAAACTTTATTAAATACTTTATCAACCAAATAAATTTTAATATGAAATTCGATCTCTATTATTTTTTATAACTAGTTTGCATGTATTTTTCATTAAATATATTAAATTTTTCACTATTTGGTCTGAAATATTTTCTCATTCTTCAACTATATATTATCTTAATTTACCAATATCTTATGGTATATATTTTTCTACATTATTTTTTACAATTTGTCACACATTTTCAATGGGATTTAAGTCTGGACTATTGGATGACCAGTCTATAATTTTGATTTTATTTTCCTTGTAAAATTCCGTTGCGATACATGAAGTGTGCTTAGAATCATTATCTTATTATAATTCCCAGCAGTTTCCATACAACTCTTTTGCACTTGGAATAAGTTGGATCTTTAAAATATTTACAAAAAAAGATCTATTCATAATATCTGTAAAGTAAAACAAAGGGGTCTTGCCTTTTGAAAAAATTCCATCTCATGCCATAATTTTCTGGCATGACTTTGGTAGATGTCAGATGGGCCTATTATTATCTTTATGCCATCTTGATACCTTATTTCTAAAAAGATTAAAGACTGTTTTATCTGTAAATATTATTTTATTCCAGTTCTTATTTAAATAAGTTTGTGCCAATACTTTTTGTGCCTCCATATGATGATTGATTAATATTGGAGTTACAAGAGGCAGAGAACTATGATATCCCTTTTTTTCATATACCTCCAGACAAACTTATATGAAATTGATAAGTTATGCTCATGTTTAGCTAATAGAGCAAGATATCATATTATAAGAGCTGAATTTCAAAAAATATGTTGGCCCAAGAAATAAGCAAAAGTTTGTATAACCTTTAATGACCTGTTACTATCACGATTACATTTAATACTACCTATTTCTTTAAGTTTTTGAATATTCCACTCAATAGTACAAAGAGAAATATAAGTTTTTTGATATATTTCCTTTGCTGAAATGATATCATTTTGTCACAAAAGTGAAATAGTTTGATGCTGAGTCTCAAGTTTTGTGCTAATCATGTTTTTGCAAGGTTTTAAATATGAAACAAAGAAAAATAGTAAAAACTCATGGTTATATATTTAATAAAATATAAACAAACAAGTTTTAATGGTAGGAATCACATAAATAAATGTGTTTTGTTGTTTTTTAATTATAATCAATTTATTATCTTCAACCACCATTTTTTTCATTACACACTGTAGATTAATTAGAAGTCCAATAAAAGAGTAATATGTACTTATAAACCAATAAATTATTTAGGTAACTAATAATTTGATAATAAACTATTAAAAAATTAAATGAATTATTAAATTTTTATGATATAAAGACAAGAATCTTTGATTTTATTGAGAATAAGAAATAAATTATCAATTTTTTTTTGTACAAATAAGAATATTTACTAAAATTCATAAATTTTGGCAGATAATAAGTATCAAAACTGAAATTATAAGGTCAAAATTATAATAGATTATTAGTATATAATCTGATATAATTCTGAATTTCAGCATTTTGAATTTCTCAAATGATTTTGGCAAGTATTCTTAGATACAAAAGAAATAAACTGAAGCTATGTTAAGTAAAAAGCCAAAAATAATTTTTTTAATTACGCATTACTTGTCTCAACTCTTTGAGATCAGTACTTATATATAATTTAATTATTACATAAATATCTACAAAAAGAGAGGCTTTTTGTAGAAAGTATTCAGGATTAGTTGAAGAAAGGGTTAGGTATTTGGGATTTTAAAATTAGCCTTTTTTAGTAAATTTAATATTTATTCTTAGATGATTTTTTCTCTTTTCAAATGGGATTTATAAGAAAAATGTAATCATTTTTATGGATCAAAAGAATAACATATGATAAGAACATTTCTATGAAATTTCCAATGATAATCAAAAAGCTTGGGATTACAAAGCAAGAATTTTTGTAAAGAATTCTTATTATTTGGTAAGGCAGTGTTGACATTGATATTACAAAGTAAGGATTTTTACGAAGTTGCGAAATAGCATTGCTAATTGATATTATGTAAGAATTTTTGTATGGATCTTGCTCAAGTATTACGGGAAAAATACGAATACATGTAATTATTTTTTCAAGTTTTCATTACACATTACTAATTAGGGCGTACGAGATTAATATTTCTCTCATTGTTTCAGATCGTCATAATCACGGGATTTCTCATCAGACAGCAACAATAAATAATAACATATATACTGTTATTAATAAAAGATGGCTCACCCTAATCAAAATGAACTATAACGATGGTCAGACAAGTACAAGAGTGTAATACTCAGCTTCTATGAATTCAACTACATAATTTATCGAGTTTTATTTGTCTTTGGCTTTCGATTATGAAGTAAGTGATCCAAATATAATATTTTTATTAATAATTTTTATAATTTTGTAATTGCTAAGAACATATGATTCGTGTAATAAAAAACGACTTGATATCCAGAGCGAAATATTTTACTCATACAGACAATAGTAATGAGAAAGGCGGACAATTGGTCGATACTTACCATGCTTTCGATACTGTTCATTGGGAGTACGTTAACAAATCATTGTAATTTCAAATAAATATAGATCCGGCGCAGGTTTTTTAATTTAATTATATTAAATTTAGCGAAAGCTGCTAATAAAAGCTGTGTCTGTGTGCGCTCGTATGATATTTGTACATTAAAGTATTGAAAATTTTCAGTAACTATCGATATATTCGGCGAATTACTTTATGATTCTCTATAAAAACTTTATTGAAAAGAAAACCTACTTGATTTAATCTGAAATTTTTAAACTAAGTTAGTATTTACTGTATATGTAAAGATGAAATTTCAAATTTTATTGATCATATTTTTCTTTACCTTAATTTAAGTGTAGATGTTAAGAGGCTTCTCCTAAAAAGTTCACTTGATTTATGTCCCTAAGGATTCATGATTTTTGATCAGACCGGAAAAACCACTCCGAAACGTGAAGATATATACGAGTATTAATTAAAAATCTCCGAGAGGCAATTTTTCTATCTCACTCCAACCATAATCTTAAAATCAATCACATGTCACGTGGGCGCAATTTTAAACGGTCCTCAAATAGTATGTTAAAATTAAAAATAAAAATCCTGTTCATTTTTTATTCCAATAATTTATATTTAAATCAAGTTTTTTATTCAATTCCAATCATTGAATTAATGTAATAACTTTTAAAACTGACACATCAAATTTTTCCCAGTCTTCGAATTTCAAACTAGCGAATTCGCCGGCTAGTTGTTATTTCGTAATTTATTTTCGTTAACCATTCCTTGATTTATGAATTGACACGTTATCTGTTTTCTTGTTGAAAAATCACGTAGCTTTCAATTAACTCTTTAATTGCGTTTTGAAATGGAACAAATTGGATTTTAAAATTCAAGGTAGATACTTGCATTATTATTTGTCATTTTTGTATTTGTCACAAAAAAATACAAACATTACGGATTTCATCCACTTCTAAAAGTAGACGCCAAACAATTAGCATTAAACTGCGTTCAAGTATGCCGCAAAACTCTTTATCGCCGTGACTGGTTTGTAATTTCGTCCACCGTATCATCAGCGAAATAACTTTTCCTCAATAGTAAGCTAAATCTTATTTCATTTTCTTCATATCACTAACACGAGAATATGCATATGTTTTCGATATATAAGGTTTCTTTGTTACAACTTGTGAATAAAGTCCGGAGTTGAACAGCGCATTTGTGACTGTCTACAAACCGTGATTGAGACCTCTTTCTGAACGCGGTAATTCTTTCATTTTCCTAACTTTTTCAAATTCATTTTGTTGCGTACAATAGAACTTCATAGCGGTAACAATGTCGATATTGTAGTTTAAACAGGTGCAAAGCTTGTATTGATTTTAGAAAAATAGTTTACGTAACCTGCGATATGACGTGTGAATAATTTGATGATGATGCAATTTTTTAAGTAAACACGACGACGTTTGTACATTGTTAATACTGGTGAAACAAACAACTCGAGCAAAAAAAATTTAAAAAAAACAGCAAGCAATTTATACATAAGATTCAGTAAAAATAACAAAATATGTAAACTATCAATTATATACCCATGTAGTTTTAACAAAATCAACAACTATGTTAAATCAATCTTGATATTATTCCACTTGATGATAGAATATTATCAAGTCAGTTAACAAATAAAGTAAAAGATTGTTTCACCCAACTGTCCACCAATCAATCTCGCCAATCGTTTTCTATCAAGGAGCATCTTTCAATGGATATTCTCAAATGCAATCCGATGAATATTCTATGTGGAACGCGCGATATTTTTTCATCACAGAGAAATCAGTTAATGCAAAATCCTTTTTATTGTTTTTTGGATCAAGTCAACGATAAAAATGAAACTTTAATCTCATCTAATTTAGTTTTTCTAATTCTAAAAATAATAATCATTTGATTGTGGTTATCATTATCACAAGGCCAGAATAAATGTTAGAAATACATATTAAAGAAATGCATAAGATCTATAATGTTCCGTATTAATATATAGTTTTATAATATATTATCAAATTTATATTGTAAAATGACAGTTTAAAAATTACGGACTATTTAGCGTTGAATGAAATTTCAATTGCAAATTTTTTTCCTCTAAAACTCGTAAAAAGTAATGAATGCAATTCGGCACGGATAGGTAGTAAATATGACAATGTTTATTAAATGTATATGAGCCCTGGAAAACTTGAATTTATTGTACGCACGATAGCTTCATTGTTTAATTTCCTTTAAAGATAAACCTATTGTACATGTAAATGCTGCAATTAGTTGATCTAATGAAATGAAACACTAATTGCTCATGACCATTACTATTACATGCACATATAGAAAATGTATTTTTAATGAGATGCACTTATATATATATATATATGTATAAATTATATAAATGCATTGTACATGTATAAATGCATTCTAAAATGATGGTGAAATATAACAACTTGGAGGTAAAATTTTTTTTATAAATTAATTATTTATCCTTCACATACAAAATTGAGACAATTCTAAAAAACGATTATAATAATAGTCTTGATATTAGCTTATTCGATACTTCTCAGTATCATAACCTGAGACCACCCTATCCTCTTCCTCACACCAATGTAAAAGATATATTTGAAAAAATTCGTCTCAAAAGTCAAAACCGCCAACCGTTAAAACCTGCAAACAATTTTTTCATTTATCGTAACGCCATGGTGATGCAAAACAAAAGGCAACCAGAAAAAATTGATATGCCAAAATTATCAACGCTCGCTTCTAAATTTTGGAAAGAAGAACAGCCGGAAGTCAAGAAATACTACAAACAGTTATCAAATACTATTTACCAATCAATCTCGCCAACCGGAGCAACTTTCAATGGATATTCACAAATGCAATCTTATGAAGATATTCATCTATATGGAACGCGCGATATTTTCTCGTCAATGGAACATCAAAATTCTTTTCAATTTTTGGATCAAACAAATAATACAAATGAAACTTTAATTTCATCTAATTTAGATGCTCTTATTGTTTCTAATAGTTTTTCTTCTAAAAATAATTATTTTTGTAATTGTGGTTGTCCTTCTTGTAGTAATAGAATAGAGTATTTAGAAAATTATGTTAATGAATTGCAAGAAAATTCTGAATATAATATTCAGTATAACAAATAGTTCTCTTTGTGCACATAATTTTATTTAAAGATTTTTTCTTCAATTATGTTCTTTAAAATAAAAATCTTCTTTATTATATTGTTTATGTTATATTATCATATATAAATAATGATGTGTTTTGTTTTAAGTGTTTGATAGAGTTGAATGAGATTAAATTTCAATTGCAAATTTTTTCATTTAAACTTTGAAAATCCGTTTATAAAAAAACTAAATAGTAAATATACTATAAAACGAGCCCTGAAAATACCTCGTGAATTGAGTGTAGCGTCTTCATTGTTTAATTTCCGTTATAGATTAGCCTATTAGATTGAATTTAGCAAGATTGACGAGAATTATACATGTATTACGATAAGAGTTACCAAAATTAGCAAATTTAGAATGAAATTCCTCTATGGCCTAACTAGTCTGGTTGATAAAGATTTTAGTATCGCATTCAAGGTCTTCCTAAAGAAAAATTATTTGACCACAAATTTGTATAACTAATTTTGCACATATTATTCTCTGCTAAATAAACGCTCATTCAGGAAAAATTAATATTTGGCATCGCTTATACATTACCGATGTTATATAATTGCAGTACTTTCGTGGTTCCAATATTCATAAGGATTTAATTGATATTATCGATAGCTGAGTTTTAATTGTTTCACGATAATTAATATTTTTTGAAAACTTATTTTAGAAAAATAGTTTTGCTCAAATTTTGTAAATTGTTCTCCTATTTGGATCCAAAATTTTGAATCTTGCTCCGGATCCAGAATTAAATGAATCGAAATAATTGCAAAACATGATATGGTTTTCGATAATCGAACTTTTGTGAAATGTTTGCCATGTTTAAAACTATACAGGCCGCACGGAAAATAATGACGAACATTTTACCAATAATTGGCCTTCTTTTAAAAGACTGGTGTAATTAAAAAATACATGAATCTCTATCTCAAAATGGGTTGAAAACAACAATACATACAGCATCCCGATTTATAATTGTGATAAAGTGACTTAAGTGATTGTATTGGAAACAATATTTATTGCTTTGAATATAATTGCGAAAGAAGGTAAATAGCATTTTATTTAATACATAGGTTCTTATGATTTTAACACGTAAAATTGTATATTGATATGGAAAAAATATAGCCCACTTAGAGACGTTCCAGTAAGTTTTTTGTGTGGTTGTCTTTAAAAATCGCACCTGAATTTTAAAATTTACATTCTATACGGATTTTTAACTGTATTATATTAAAAATTTACGCATTTTGACCAAATTTTTTAAAGCTTGTGAAGTTGATCACAATAACAAGTTCTAACATGTTAAATGGTAATAATAAAAAATAAAAGAATTTACAAATAAGGGCACAAAAAATAAAAAGCTACAAATAAGGGGTCTAAAGTTAAAATCTTTATATATAAGGCCTAATATTTTAAAATATTACAAATAAGGGTTCAAATATTTTTGCATAGTACAAATTTTTCAAGCGACATGCAGCTTGATGGGTTTATTGGTTTTGAACTTGTATGGTAAAGATAGTTCGGCAGAATAATCATGCGAACGCTCTCCATAATAGTAAATGCCATTCCGATTGCATTGTGCCTGAACTTCGAGTGATTATAAGAGAAGATCTCACAGGGAAAATGACAAGTTCATTGGAATCAAGAGACAATTTTGCAAGAAAATAATTGAGTTTATTGGATTAAACGAACTAGAAAATAAGTATTTCTGGACATAATTTGAGCCACGATTTCGAGTCAAAGGCTTGATTTATGATTGGCTTAAATTTCGAGCTTGGGTGATTTGTACCATGCAAAAAAGATTTTGATCCTTTATTTATAATAGTCTAAATATTGGTCCTTATATATAATATTTTTTTTAATTTAGACACTTATTGTAATTTTTGATTTTTATACCCTTATTTATAAATTCCACTAAAAAATATGTATCAGATTCTAATCAAGTAAATTTCAAATTCAGTTCAATGATTTGAGTTTGTGCATTTTGATAATTTAAATATTTAAATAATAAATATTTTAATCTTATTTAATTTTGATTTGAAATTTTCAATGCGTTCTCGTTTGTATGCTTAAAACTGGGATACTGGCTATCCCTGTGTTCTCATCGTGTGCACGTTTCTTGTTTCTGCCACATCAAACGAGATCTCAATGAAATCTTGAAAGCAAGGCTGATGATTTTCTGCATTCAAGGAGTTCACAGAATCATATGATGAATGCATGATTCATTATTAATATTATTAATACTATTCAAGTTGAAACATAATTAAATAGATCATATAAAGAATTAATTATGGCATTATATTTTGTGTATTATGTAGCGAATTAATTGTTTGTAAAGCTGGTGAACATATTAATAGTAAAAAATTGAGCAAATAAAACTAAATTTAAGAAAAAGCAACAAACTCAACAACAACTTACAATTGCTAATTCTAAAATATGGGTTATTGAAGATTTAGTTGAAGCTTTTTCTATTGCAAATTTTTCTCTTGAAAAAGTAAACCACTTTGCTACCTTTTCAAAGAAGATGGCGTAATTCCAAAGCACCTACTTGCATCAAATTTATTTACTACCATGTCTTTGAAAAACATCAACAAAGTACATATACATTTTTTCATTCTAAACAAGTTGTTATTGTGATGGATGAAACAACTAATAGCTGTGCAAGAAGTGTAGCAAATAACTTTTTATATATAGAAATACGATAAATTTAATACCTATTAACTTTCTAGCACAGGTTAATAATACAACCATTGATCAAACTCTCATAATAACACTTTTATTTTATAACATATTCTTATTCATTTCAGAATATTATTATAAAGTATTAAAACCTTTGATTCCTCAACTTCATATTGTTAACATATATTTAATTAATTTTAAACCATATTAATAATTTATTTATATATAGAGAAATATGAAGGAATTTTTTATCTTAAAATTTCTTGCAAATATTAAAGAATCTTCATTCATTTACCTGTTAAAAAATCATTATTTTCTTTTCTTAAGATAGCTGATTTAAATGAATTTTATCAAAAGATTATACTCAATATATGATATATTTTGTCAAGAAGAATATGAAATGAATTTGAGTAATCAAATTATATTCACAAACTAATTAAAATTATGGCAAGATTATTATATATATATGAGTTTGTTTAGGATCTCTATTTTTTCAAATTCAATTAAATAACAATTTTCTTTGTGGTGAGGTAACTTGAAAAACTTTTAGCATATACTCAAATTAATCATAAATCATAATATTTTGAATCAAAATTCAAAATACTTATTTATAATTCTATTTTAATTCTGAAGAATTTATTTGCAATTTTGATTAGCATTTGAAAGATTATAATAAATTCTGAGTACATATTTCTCAATAACCTACACATAGATTATTTCCAAGCTTGCCAGATTTTTTGATTTCAAATATATTTATGCTAATGATATATTCAGAAAAAACACACACGCAGATATTCCAGAGCTTGCAAATCTATCAGATGTATTAATTCAGGAATGGAGCTATTTATTATAGATTGGAAGATAATAATATTATAACAGAATTAGATATATATTAACAAAACTTAAGCACATGATTATTAATTTTAGCTCTTTATATTTGCTT